CCGAAAGTCCTGTTTCCCCTACCCTCCACCCTCCATCCCCCATCCTCGCCTGCTCGTTTGCGTACAAAAAGCCAAAACAAATATGGGGTGAATTGCTTTACTTGGCCCGGCCCGTTCGGGAAAATGGACCGGGAAATGGGCAGAGGTGTGGGGCGAACGCGGCGAACGCGGAATCTGCTGAGAAACCTAATTTATTGAAAAATTGTTTCTCGGGGTGTGTCGGTTTGACTTGCTGTCGTTTTGCCGGGGGCATGCTGTGACCTTTTCGCCGGCGCTTTGTTTGTGTTCACAGTGTTATAAAGACAACATTCTACTACTTAATGTCCGTCGCACCATCTAGAACTCCGCCTCCAACTCCCCCATCTCCACCTCCACCACCATCCCCCCCCTCTTAAGCAGCTGCTGTGCCGCGACTACCGACTTCGGCGTTCCTTTGTAGAACGGAAAAAAATGTGCATCAAAGAACAAGTTTTGGCCATTCGCAACCACCATTCGGTGGCGCAGACTATAAAAGTTGGGCTGTTGGCCTGTCAGCCGCTAAAAGCCACAAAATCGTACATTAAAAAAATAAGCAAAATATTACTTTTGGGATGACCGCATTTCCTTACCTACGATTTAACTTTCCTGTTTTCATTAGAGGCCGCGGTAAATCACCGGCATTTTTTCCAAACTTGTATGCAGGTTTTGCGGGGCAAGGTTCGGATGTGAGCAGAGCTGAGCTGAGCTGGTGAAAATCGATACCGGGGACACTGTTCGCCAAGGGCCGGCAGGCAACCCTTTCAATCAGCTCGGAACATCCGTATTCTCCTCGCGTAACTGGCCATCATCAGCCGGAGGACTCTCAGGACACCAACTTCTGTCAATCGGGTAGTTTTCCATGACACACGTAAAGGCTTAATCCTCGCAAGTCTTGTTACAATACACACATATGCTATAGATTTCTGGGTTTCCTATTTCATTTTGACTATTTTTTTGTCCAACTATTTTCGAGCAATGTAGCCGTTTTCATTTCGAATTGTGACTTAGGTGAATGTTCAGCCGTTCAGCACGTTTAACAGGTAATGGCCATCTTTTTGTTTGTTTTGTCTGAAATGTACTAAGTTTTGACCTCTATATGGCTAAACCTCTCACCATTTCTTGATTTCATTGAATAAAGTGCTTACAATTTTTGGTGGCATCCAAAGTATATTATTTTGTCAATCAATTAATAAAATGGGTAAAATCAAGCAAAAGAGGCTTATTAATCAATAGCCTTTATTCCTTAAAGAATATATTAATACCTTCGAGTTAGTGTTATATTTGGAAACTAAAAATGGCAATCTGTCATTATTGATTTCAAAAGCAGGGGCAAAACTTGGCTGGTATTCCCCTTGTATTTGGGCATGCACAATTCCTCTGCCGCTGAAGTAATTCCGAGTAGACCATTCCGTGTAGTGAGATTGGAAGACACCCACATAAGAGCTTGGGAGTGGCTGAGGAAGGGAGTGGGGGCAGTCCTGGGAGGTCAAAGTGCATCGCATTCCCTGTGAGCTCCGGTCCCATTCGGGGATGGCAGGAACACGCAACTGAGGCGAACGCGGAAACAGGAGCAGCAGGATGGGGACACACCTTCAAGATTGATGGCTGTCGTGGCCATTTGGCGTTGGGACTTTTCAATTATTGGTTCGACATGGCAGTGGCTTGCGTGATTTGCATTGTTTCAGTCCTGTGTTTGCTTTGCCACATCATCGTGTCGCGGACACTCTGTCATTTGGTTTTGGTCGTGTGGTCGCCCAGAAGTGCAGGAATCCAGAAATCCCGAAATCCAGAAATCGAGAAATCCAGTCGCTAAGTGTTAGCAAACAATCTGTGTGCAAAATGGGGGGACTGTCTGAATATGCAATATGGATCCCTGCTCCACCCACTTGGTGATTTGTCAAAACTCCGATTGCTGCCCATGCACACTGGTACGAAAATGCCCCAAAAAAGTTCAGATGAGTGGGTCGTGACTTGGTCAATGGGATTTGAGGGTTTCAAAAGTTGCTGAGTTATTGGTTTAAAGGCCATTAATACAAAACGTACTCCACACTAATAAAGCTATGTTTGGGGTGAGCTTTATTAAATTAAGTTATATATTATTATTTGTACTTTATTCTTAATCGTAACTGGGTATTGTATAGGAAATGGAAATGACAAAACATAGAAATTCGAAAGATCTAATTTGAAATACATTTTACCAATAGATGTAACTTGGGTGCGGTGTTTGGCGTTGTCGGCCAGTGTGCAGTGGCAAATGCTGGACGCAGTAGTACAAGTCACTCTCATTAATTAAACCAGGAAGAGCCAGACTCAGTTGATTTAAGTTTCCACCTCGGAGGCCTCCCACTCACCACCGATGCAATTTCGCCGACTCATGTCTGTTGAGACCGAGGCTACTTACAATATGTATTTTGGAACGATATGTTTGATTACGGTCTTACATTTCACGGGACTCTGAATATTTCTCTTTTATTTTCTGAATTTAATAATTCATCCTTCATTTAATTTGCACAGACAACAAGTATTGGAAATATTAAAATGTTTCAGTTGTACATATCAGTTATAATCTCATTATACATCATTAATGGATCTCGTTATACACCATCAAATGATACTTAAAATGAATAGTGTTTTACATTTAAAAAGTAATTTATAGTAATTGTGTACCTTTGCAGGGTATATTTTAATTTCAGTCAATTTTTGCAACGCAGTGAAGGAAAGCCGAAGTTTATATACCTTGCCTATGTTACTAAAAACAATCAAGCTATGTCGTTTCTGACAAAACTAAAAGCGTAGTTCTGATATAGTAAATAATTACAATATTTCAAAGGAATATTTTGATAAATAGAGAAACAGAAAAATAAAACAAGAGAGAACGCTATAGTCGAGTGCCTCGACTATTAGATACCCGTTACTCAGCTAAACAACTTTAGATTTTGCATTAACATAATGTGAATTAGAGTGACCACAGGAAAAAAGGACAAAAAGTAAAAATTATCAATTTGAATTCGGCGATCTCTTAGAGCTAGCAGCTTTACAGCACGAGCATCAGCACCAGCGCTGCTTTAGCGCAGGCAGCTTTTGTCCTGCACCAGACCTCCAATTTGGCTAACTTGATTTGATTTGCATAGTTCTTGGGATATAGTTCGGTATTGACAAATGAAAACCATCGCAATTTCCTTTAATAGAAATCCTTATCGCGAATTAACGTTGACTCTGTTGAGCACCTTGGCCAGCTGTTCCAAAGTCATCCGTTAGATGGCGCCATGAAAGGCGGAAATGTAGGCGCTAGCCAGGCTTAAGCGTTTAATGGGTTTTTGGGCGTTAGAGTGGGCGTTGCAAACTTTTATTAGGCCAATCGATAGGTATTGACGAAACAAATACACATCAATTAAAATTTTCATAATAGCATCAAAACTGTGGCCACAGCTTGTGGGTTGTGGGCGTCAGAGGGGGCGTGGCACCATTTTGAAACAAACTTGCGCTGCGTAGGAACTCCTAAAATCTACATGCAAAATGCCAATCTTCTAGCTTTTATAGTTTCCGAGATCTCAGCGTTCATACGGACAGACAGACAGACAGACAGACGGACAGACAGACGGACATGGCTAGATCGACTCGGCTAGTGATCCTGAACAAGAATATATATACTTTAGAGGGTCGGAAACGCTTCCTTTTACCTGTTACATACTTTTGCACGAATACAATATACCTTTTTACTCTACGAGTAACGGGTATAAATATTAATACGGACAGACGGACGGACCGACATGGCTAGATCGACTCTCTTGGTGATCCTTGAATATCCAAGAATATATATACTTTAAAGGGTCGGAAATGTCTCCTTCACTGCGTTGCAAACCCTCTGCAAGGGTATAATTACAGTGGAATTCTAAGTCTTTATGTAAATCCACAATTTTGTACTTATATTTTAAGTAAATCAAGCATACTATGTATTTTTATAAAAATAAATTCTCTGGGAGATATTGATGTCAGTTTTTTATTTCAAATTTAAGGTTTCCGTTATCCAACCAGCGTAATATGTAATATTTGTAAGAATGACCACACCGTTCTTCCTAAAGCTCACAATGCCGTAGAGAAAGAACTTGTCGCCGAACGACGTATATTCCTCGGCACCAAATACCTGACCTGACCTTAAAACGGAGGACGATTCTTTAACACAGATTTGATTTTCATATATGAGATGTCCTATAGTAAAAAAGCAATTATGACGATCAATGACGGTGAAATTTTCATCAGAACAGGTAAGCGATGTTGGTGGGTTTTCCGACTTCTGAAGAGTTGGGCGGAAGCAGATCGGTGCAAGACGGTCTGAAGCAAGGGAACGAAAGTCATTAAGAAATGAAGTTGGTAAAATAAATTAACTTACCAGAATAACGCACATTTCGATCAAGTTCAAGCAAAGCTATCGTTTGCAAAACTAGTTTAGTTTATGATCCACGCAATCAAATAATAACTTCCCAACTAATAACTTCGAGAGATTTCAATAAAAATTTTAAATTGGTTCATATTATTTCATTGTCAATTGCTATTTACAAAATCTGTGAACTTGTGCGCAATTTACTTGCAGCAGTAAAAACAAAGCCTAGAAAACGTAAATAAAAATGTTATCGAATATTATGTTTACGATTGAAAATAATTACGATTTGTGATAAGGGTGCCAGCAACAAACTGAGTCGGACAGACTAGAAAAGGTAAATTAAATTATTATCGACTTTTAGGTTTAGCATTCAAAATACTTACTTATTGTGGTGAAGGGGTCACCAACGCAATAATAAAATTGTAGTTTCCAGGGTTCGTGAGCAGATCCATTTTTATCCCGAGTGTTGCTGCAGTTCTCATCCAACAAGGGCTCCTGGTCCTGATCGTAATTGTTAGCCAAAATGGTATTTTTGATCCATTGTCTGTAGAACGTAACGTTCGCGTAGCTGGCACTAGCGTTGCAGAATTTGGAACCATAGCTAGTCCCCGATCAATGTGGGGAATACGAATCCCCGATATGTGATGTTGGTGACCAGTGGACCACCTGAGTCACCATGGCAAGTGTCGCCTCTTTCGGCACCAGCACAGATCTGCGATTCCTCGTGAAAACTTAAGCAAGATTGCGGTGGGTGGGAAAGATTGATGGTCTGAAGGATTGGACTTAAGTAAAGGTTCTCCGTTGCACCCCAGCCATATGCCGAGAAATTCCCGATCGACGACGTTTTTAGCCCATCACCAGTGACAATGCAGATCGAACGGATATATTCTAATCAACAACATAAAATAAATTTCAAGAAAGTATTATTCCACATTGAACGATCTTATCTTACAACAAGAAAGGAAAGCTAACTTCGGGCGGAGCCGAAGTTGATATACCCTTGCAGAATACTCTGTAAATTATATTCTCCAAAATTATTCATATGATGCATTCTTAATACTCATAAAAAATCCCAACTTCCTAACTTTAAAAACACCAAAGTTATGACATTTCCAATCGTTCAGTTATATGTCAGCTATAGGATATAATCGGCCGATCCTTATGAAATTTGGTAGGTCGGATTGGCTGGCCAAATATAACACCCATAGAAAATGCCGACTTCCTAACTTTACAAACACCAAAGTTATGGCATTTCCGATCAATCAGTTATATGGCAGCTATAGGATATAGTCGGCCGATCCTTATGAAATGGCATGTCGGATTGATTAGCCAAATATAAAACCCATAGAAAATCCCAACATTCTAACTTTACAAACACCAAAGTTATGGCATTTCCGATCAATCAGTTATATGGAAGCTATAGGATATAGTCGGCCGATCCTCATGAAATTCGGCATGTCGGATTGATTAGCCAAATACAAAACCCATAGAAAATCCCAACTTCCTAACTTTACAAACACCAAAGTTATGGCATTTCCGATCGTTCAGTTATATGGCAGCTATAGGATATAGTCGGCCGATCCCGGCCGTTCCGACTTATATACTGCGTGCAAAGGAAAGAAGGGTGTGTGCAAAGTTTCAATTCGATATCTTGAAAACTGAGAGACTAGTTCGCGTAGAAACAGACAGACGGACAGACAGACGGACAGACAGACGGACAGACGGACAGACGGACAGACGGACAGACGGACATGGCTATATCAACTCAGGAGGTGATCCTGATCAAGAATATATATACTTTATAGGGTCGGAGATGTCTCCTTCACTGCGTTGCACACTTTTGACCAAAATTATAATACCCTCTGCAAGGGTATAACAAGAAAGGAAAGCTAACTTCGGGCGGAGCCGAAGTTGATATACCCTTGCAGAATATTCTGTAAATTATATTATTCATATGATGCAATACTCATAAAAAATCCCAACTTCCTAACTTTACAAACACCAAAGTTATGGCATTTCCAATCGTTCAGTTATATGGCAGCTATAGGATATAGTCGGCCGATCCCGGCCGTTCCGACTTATATACTGCGTGCAAAGGAAAGAAGGGTGTGTGCAAAGTTTCAATTCGATAGCTTTAAAACTGAGAGACTAGTTCGCGTAGATACAGACAGACGGACAGACGGACATGCTTATATGAACTCAGGAGGCGATCCTGATCAAGAATATATATACTTTATAGGATCGGAGATGTCTCCTTCACTGCGTCGCTTGCCTCCTTTCTTGTTACTTATCACTTTCACCGCTGTTTATCGAAAACCATTTAATCCCTACGTGTACTGACATTCTCTGTGATTTTCCCCTTGGCTTAAGTACAATTTATACTTGGCCTTAGTAAAGTTCATACAAGTTCATTAAGTGCTTGGTTTTAGTAAAATGAATTATCCAATTCTTTACAAAAACGTTCTCCATTTGATAATTATTGTTGATAATACATAGTTTTTGAATTAAGAAATTCGCACAAAATTTAGCTCATCGCGAACTTGACTCGCTTTTAGGCCAGTTTTTCTTAAACAGAGCACAGAATTCTTTGATTTTTCTGAGTGTAGTAGATTCATCCAGATTTCTGTGTAGAACGGCAAATCCCTACATATGGTTATACAAGGGTCGTTTAGAAACCATGATAGCTTGTAACCAAATCGCCTTGTAGACCTATCACTATTACGCGGCTTCCCCGACTTTCCAGCCCATTTTTTTGGTGAAAGCTTTATGTAAATAAAGTCTGTATAAAGTCTGCTGGCCGAAATCCATTAGGAAACCCAGCCGTAGCTGAAAAGTCACTTCGATCTTGGCCCAATGCTTTTATCCTTCAGAAGCTACATCTCCCTCAAATCCGTTTGATTTGTTTTACGATGCTCTCCACTCGACTTCCTGGTTTCTAATTGAAAAGAGGTTGAGCAAATAAACACAAATTGTAATAAAAGTTTACTCGCAATAAATATTTTTTGGATACAGGCCATTGCTTGTGCTTCAGCATTCTCGGCAGCTGCTTCTGTTGCTGTCGCTCGGGCTTCTCTGGCTTTTGAATTTTTTATTCGAAAAATAAAATTGAAAATTCAATTTCGCAATCATTTTGGCACCCCAGACACACCGTAGTAGAGCTACCCTTACCCAAAAGGGGCTGCCCCGCCCCCGACCAAACCGCGCTGGAGATTAAAAACGACAATCTCCTGACTTCACAAGAACGAACTTGTCCAACCAGACCAGACCAGACCAGACCATTCCAGACCAGAACAGACAACATTTGCACCAGGCCAAGACCGAGGACCGAGGACCGAGGACCAAGTCGATGCAACGGCGCCGAAGGAGACGGGCTAGGATGTGGACTTGGATGGCAGGAGGCTTCATTAGAGCGGGATAGTGAACGCCGGGACTCGAAAGTTTGCCCTGTTGGACTCGGATTTGGATGGGCATCCAAGTTCGTTCGGCAGTGCGGAATACCCAGGGGGAGGAATCTGAACCCCCCACCCCAGTCCTGTCGCGCCTTATTGGACATTCTCGTAATAATAATTAAAATATAAAAAAGGATGAGCAACGGAAAAAAGGGCTGCGCCAAGACTTAAAGACGAGCTGGGAACCCTTTAAAGAGTGGCTATTTGTCGAATGGATCTCCAAATAAGTACACGTTACGTTTTAAGGCTGGGAATTATTAATTAACCCGTTGTTAGCCCACAGCGGCCTCATTTGCTTTGGCTTTTTTTAAATTATGCACCTATTAATGTTTAAAATGCAAATGCCGGGACGGAACCGGGCTAAATGAAACAGGACGAGAAAGGACGACGGAATGGGCCAAAAAAGGGGGCATCGCCCCTTTCCTTGAACACGGCTATAAAGTTTTATGTGAATAATGCAAACCGTTGTCAAGGAATTATGGTCTAGCGTAAAATGTTCGCTTAGGGTCACTTCTATAGAATGTCCATTCGTTTATAGCCATATACATAAACACACTAAGAAAAATATTTAAAAAGCCAATGCTTTAAAAAAAGGAAAGCTAGTTTATTCTCGGTATCTAGAGGAACGCGAATTAAGTTTTTAAATTGCCGCGGATCCGCGAAATGCGATTTATTCTGAGCAAATAGCTGCTTTTTGCTCAATTCACAGTCACATATGTTATGTAACTAACTACATTTGTTCAAAAACTATTAATTATTCGTAATCATAAATCATGCTATGAACAGTAAGTACATTTAAAAGTGGAAATTATTTAAACTCGAATTATTGGGCACTGTCTGTTTTGGGGTAATTTAATATAATAATTTTAGATTTTTAAAAAACGTATTAACCAACAAAGAATGCCATAGACAAGTGCCTCGAACACTAGACACCCGTTACTCCGTTAAAATAAATATGCCTCCGGCAGATGGCGGTAGTATAGAATAGTATAGTACTTTAAAAGCGCAGCAAACCACAAAGTCACAAACGCCATCTACTGCGAATAAATGGCAAGACGGTATTTTTGACTGCTTGCAATGACGTCACTGATTATTTTTGATTTTAATTTCTCAATAACTTCTTATATAACTGTTTAATTTGGCTTGTCGATTAAAGTAGACCTAGTTAATATATACGGCCTAATAACTGGCTCCTACCATATTTTAAAATGACATGACAAACTTAAGTGGCCAACTTTTGAAATAAAATTGCGCTGCTTATGCAAAACTAGACATTCCATGTTAAGTCTTAACTCTCTAGCTCTTTTGGTTTTCCAGATACGACCTTCATGCCGAATGAAGGGCATTCAAACGGACATGGCTAGATCGACTCGGCTAGTGATCCTGATCCAGACTATATACATATGTGTATTTTGTACGGCCGGAAGGCCTCCCTTCTACCGGTTACACAATATTCAACGAATACAATGAGCTTTTATATTATACAAGTGACGGGTATAAATACATAAAATTTTTTTTATAATTTATTTTATGTTTTACAAACCCAACATAGTCTAAATAAAATGTATAGGTAGAGAATCTATTTTCATAAAATTGTGTAACCACTTTTTATACCCTTGCAGAGGGTATTATAATTTTGGTCAAAAGTGTGCAACGCAGTGAAGGAGACATCTCCGACCCTATAAAGTATATATATTCTTGATCAGGATCACCTCCTGAGTTGATATAGCCATGTCCGTCTGTCCGTCTGTCTGTTTCTACGCGAACTAGTCTCTCAGTTTTAAAGATATCGAATTGAAACTTTGCACACACCCTTCTTTCCTTTGCACGCAGTATATAAGTCGGAACGGCCGGGATCGGCCGACTATATCCTATAGCTGCCATATAACTGATTGATCGGAAATGCCATAACTCTGCTGTTTGTTAAGTTAGGAAGTTGGGACTCTCTATGGGTATTATATTTGGCCAATCAATCCGACGTACCAAATTTCATAAGGATCGGCCGACTATATCCTATAGCTGCTATATAACTGATTGATCGGAAATGCCATAACTTTGGTGTTTGTTAAGTTAGGAAGTTGGGATTTTCTATGGGTTATATATTTGACCAATTAATCCGACCTACCAAATTTCATAAGGATCGGCCGACTATATCCTATAGCTGCCATATAACTGATTGATCGGAAATGCCATAACTTTGGTGTTTGTAGAGTTAGGAAGCTGGGATTTTCTATGGGTTTTATATTTGGCCAATCAATCCGACCTACCAAATGTCATAAGGATCGGCCGACTATATCCTATAGCCGCCATATAACTGATTGATCGAAAATGCCATAACTTTGGTGTTTGTAAAGTTAGGAAGTTGGGATTTTTTATGAGTATTAAGAATGCATCATATGAATAATTTTGGAGAATATAATGTACATAATATTCTGCAAGGGTATATCAACTTCGGCTCCGCCCGAAGTTAGCTTTCCTTTCTTGTTTAGAAATTAATTATCCTATTTTTTGTCTGGCTAACAAATCATCACCTCACATTACTTGACTAAGCCAATGTCGACATTTATACGTTAAAATAATGATACTGAGATTATTCAAAATATTTTGGAGCTGACTTTGGTAAATATAAAAGATACTCTTCATTGTAGTCTTGCAACCTGTAGTCTTTTGGACTAGTTTGCGAGTTTTCTAATATTCAGATTAATATTCATCAAGGGCTCAACTACTGCATTTGCTACCTTACTATTATTATAAGGATCGTAGTTAATGTTGTTTTCAATCAATAAATCGTGAAGATCTGGCTCATAAAACTTTTGTCCAATACAAAAGAAAACATTTTCTGATGGGTACATATTCTAAATCTTGTCTAAACGTTATCTTTGAAAAACGGACAAATCTGTTTGGAAAAAGGCCAAACTCTAATTCTTTGTTGCCTTACTGTGTGATCTCGAAAATATTCACTATCCATCTGTAAAATGTGCCGCGAAATGGAGGTGGCCAACAAACAATAAAGAGTCAATTGAGGTTAAAATCACCACCCAAACATTGCAGGTCTTAAAGGTTCATGTCCTTAAATTGAGCATGGTATCTCAGAAACCTACACCCAAACTTCCCCACACGAAAGTACACAGTGTACGACCCGTTTTATTTGTACAATGAGTGTTTTATAAAGCTAATCACTGCGAACTCTGAACACTGAACACTAAACACTAAACACTGAGCACTGGATCAAAAGTGTGGAGCATTCAACCGCAAACACGGTCGCCGAAGCCATTTAACGAAATGTTTTCAATTAGGGCTAAATACCTCAAGGTAAGGTTGAAATCACTTAAAGAAATTATAATCACTTTGTACACACACGCTTAGTTCCTCGGGGCTGCTCACTTTCCTCGTAGCATGGTTCGAGTTTTCCGACGCTTTCCCGGCTTTCCCCGCTTTCCTTTCCCCTTCCCCTTTCCCCTTTGCCAGCGTCGAGTCTGGCTAGTGGAGCCCAGCAGTTGAGTTCAGCTCAGTTGCTTTTGTAGTGGATTAACCCGAGCAAAACAAATAATTTCACCTGCAGATGCTGGCGAGTGCCTTAGCGAGTTGGCAGCTTAGAGCGAATTCCACTACCAATTTCACCCCGAACCAATATGTGTCTGGTATGTGGGGTTGTGGGATTGCGGGGCTGTGGGATTGCGGGCGGGGGGTGTCTCCGGGTTCATAAGCCCTCGCCGAGAGGAAAAGGTAATTTAGTAAATAATAGGGTCAAAGACAAATATTGTTGTGGGCTTGCCAATGAGGGAACGCTTTCGGCGTCTTTTGTGCGTGAAAAGCGTGTGTAAGTTGCTTTTGAGGCAATTGAGGACGATTAACTGCCGGGAAGCAACCAACTTGGTTTAGGCCGGATCTTGAATTGCCCTGGACAAACTGCCAACAGACAATGCCGAGTGAGACGGGGTTTTGTCCTTCCGAAAAAATGTATCTCAGAGTGTTTGTCTTAATGTTTGCAAAAAATGTATAAAAAAAAATCTTTCACATTAATCTATCTCAGTGGACTTCGACTTTTTCTATATCGGATATTGGTACGACTGTGGTTGAGACTTTTACAAGGAGATATGGAATAAATCTTTTGAAACATCTATAAAGTATATTTTTTTGATCAGCATCTTGAAATGGTGTCAGGTAAAAATGTATATTATTTTATTTTGGAAATGTTTAATTCCGGAGACAACTTTCTTTGTATTTAATATGAAAATAACTATCTTTATACCCTTGCAGAAGGTATTATAATTTTGGTCAAAAGTGTGCAACGCAGTGAAGGAGACATCTCCGACTCTATAAAGTATATATATTCTTGATCAGGATCACCTCCTGAGTTGATATAGCCATGTCCGTCTGTCCGTCTGACCGTCTGTTAAAAATATCTTTTAAAAATATCGAATTGAAACTTTGCACACACCCTTCTTTCCTTTGCACGCAGTATATATGTCGGAACGGCCGGGATCGGCCGACTATATCCCACAGCCGCCATATAACTGATTGACCGGAAATGCCATAACGGTGTTTGGAAAGTTAGGAAGTTGGGATTTTCTATGGATTTTATTTTTGGCCAATCAATCCGACCTACAAAATTTCATAAGGATCGGCCGACTATATCATATAGCTGCCATAGAACAGAACGATTGGAAATGCCATAGCTTTGGTGTATAATTACAGTGGAATTCTAAGTCTTTAGGTAAATCCACAATTTTGTACTTATATTTTAAGTATGTAGAATTAAATTAAGCATACTATGTATTATTATAAAAAGAAATTAGTCGAATATGTCGTTTTCTCTGGGTGATATTAATGTCATTTTATTATTTAAAATTTACAGTTTCCGTTATCCAACCCGCGTATGATGTAATATTTGTAAGAATGACCACACCGTTCTTCCTAAAGCTCACAATGCCGTGGAGAAAGAACTTTTCGCCCAACGTCGTATTTTCGTTGGCACCTAATACGGCACCTGACTTTAAAATGGAGGACGATTCGTTCACACAGAATTGATCGTCATCTATGGTATATCCAATGGTAATAGAGCAATGGGAACGATCAATGACGGAGAAGTTCTCATATTGAACGGTATGATTTTCAGCAGAGGTAATGGCAGTAATCGATGTTGGTGGGTTTTCCGACTTCTGAAGAGTTGGGCGGAAGCAGATGGGTGCCACACGGTCTGAAGCAAGGTAACGAAAGTTAAAAAGAAATGAAGTTGGTAAAATAAATTAACTTACCAGAATAACGCACCCTTCGAAAAAGTTCAATCAAAGCTATATCATTTGCAAAACTCGTTTTGACGTCGGTGACTTTGGGATGCCCGTGTATAGATTTAGCGGTAAAGCGGACACCGTCGAGCGTTCTAAGACGTCTGCATCAAAAATATAAACAACAAATTGTAAATAAATTTGTAATAATCATCTTATATGATTCTTTCTTTCTATGCTTGACAGTTTAGTAACCGATGTGAAACCAGATAATGAAAATATTGCTTATCATCAAAACAGTTCAAGTCATTGTTATAGTATATATTCTTATCTAACAAAAATAATTAAACTTATTTCAGTTTAAGTGGAAGAAGAAGATTCAATAAATAAAAGCAAAGTTAAATAAAAAAAAAAAAAAAGTGGAAGGGAGAACACACTTTAATAAATTTAAATACTTTTGATTATTTTTGATCCATAACAGTACGTATCCAGGTCCTATTTGATCAGATAATGTCGATGCATTTGTATTAAGATCATAAGTCCATTTTAAGATCCACGCAATCAAATAATAATTTCACAAATAATAGCTTCGAGAGATTTCAATACAAATTTCAAATAGGTTGATATTATTTCATTGTTAATTGCTACTTACATAACCTTTACATGTGTGGGCAAATCACTTACAGTAGTAAGAACAAAGCCTAGAAAACGTAAATTAAAATGTTATTGAGTATTAAGTTTACCATTGGAAATAATTACGATTTGTGATAATGAAGCCAATAGCAGAAGTACTCATAAGACACTCTAGAAAACGTAAATTAAAATATTATCGACTATTAAGTTTACCATTGAAAATAATTACTTCTTCTAGTGTGGGCATAAATAACGCAGTAATTTAATTGTACTTTCCAGGGTTGGTGAACAGATCCATGTTTATCCCGACTGTTGCTGCAGTTCTCATCCAAAAAGGGCTCCTTATCCTGATCGTAATTGTTAGCCGAAATGGTTTTTTTGATCCATTGTCTGTGGAACGTAACGTTCGCGTAGAAGCCTCTAGCGTTGCAGAATTTAAAACCAAAGCTAGTGACCCCAATCAGTGAGGGGAATACGTGTCCCCGATATGTGATATTGGCGACCAGTGGACCACCTGAGTCACCACGGCAAGTGTCGCCTCTTTCGGCACCAGCACAGATCTCCGATTCCTCGTGAAACATTAAGCAAGATTGCGGTGTGTGGGAAAGATTGATGGTCTGAAGGATTGGGCTTAACGTTTGATTCTCCGTCTCACCCCAGCCATATGCCGAGAAATTCACGATCGACGACGTTTTTAGCCCGTCACCAGTGACAATGCAGATCGAACGGATATATTCTAATCAACAACATTAAATAAATTTAAAGAAAGTATTATTCCACATTGAACGATCTCATCTTACATATACGGAATTCTTTTAAAACGGAAATTAAATTGCATTAAATAATACACTGTACTAGGGCTTAAAAAATTTGAAATGTAAAACCAAATATGGAAGAAAACTTCGGCAAGCCGAAGTTTATTTACCCTTCCAGTTATTACAAAACGACTATATTTCGATTTATATGCCTATATTACTAAAAACAAGAAAGGAAAGCTAACTTCGGGCGGAGCCGAAGTTGAAATACCCTTGCAGAATATTCTGCAAATTATATTCTCCAAAATTATTCATAAGATGCATTCTTAATACTCATAAAAAATCCCAACTTCCTAACTTTAAAAACACCAAAGTTATGGCATTTCCAATCGTTCAGTTATATGACAGCTATAGAATATAGTCGGCCGATCCTTATGAAATTTGATATGTCGGATTGATTGGGCAAAAATAAAACCCATAGAAAGTCCCAACTTCCTAACTTAACAAACACCAAAGTTATGGAATTCCCGATCAATCAGTTATATGGCAGCTATAAGATATAGTCGGCCAATCCTTATGAAATTTGGTAGGTCGGATTAATTGGCCAAATATAAAACCCATAGAAAATCCCAACTTTCTAACTTTACAAACACCAAAGTTATGGCATTTCCGATCAATCAGTTATATAGCAGCTATAGGATATAGTCGGCCGATCCTTATGAAATTTGGTACGTCGTATTGATTGGCCAAATATAAAACCCATAGAAAGTCCCAACTTCCTAACTTAACAAACAGCAGAGTTATGGCATTTCCGATTAATCAGTTATATGGCAGCTATAGGATATAGTCGGCCGATCCCGGCCGTTCCGACTTATATACTGCGTGCAAAGGAAAGAAGGGTGTGTGCAAAGTTTGAATTCGATATCTTTAAAACTGAGAGACTAGTTCGCGTAGAAACAGACAGACGGACAGACAGACGGACAGACGGACATGGCTATATCAACTCAGGAGGTGATCCTGATCAAGAATATATATACTTTAAAGGGTCGGTGCTGTCTCCTTCACTGCGTTGCAAAGCTTTGACTGAAATTATAATACCCTCTGCAAGGGTATAAAAATCCTCAAAATATCTCCTTATTCTAAGTGTTTTTAAGAAAGGTTATATATTTTCCTATGGTTATTATTAACTTACCATTGTAAACCACTTCCACGCTCAATTTTAAAATAGCGATATCATTTTCTTTGGTAATGTCGTTATAATCGGGATGAGGTATGGCCTTAATCACATCATAGTTTTTTATTTCTGGGCACTTTTCTTCTGGGCAGGTTATGTCGTACATCCCCAAGCTCACCAGACTAAGCGAAAAAGATTAGACAAACCATTTTTTCTGCGTCGGCAGGGTACTTACAATTTTTTATTATTTTTAATGCAGTGGGCGGCTGTCAAGACGAAACCTGGAATGAATGCGATTAAATGATTGCCAGTTTAATATGAAATAAGTGTACGTACGTGGATGAACGAGCGTGCCTCCGCCAAGAAAAGTAGTTCTATTGCTAATGGCAGCAATCCAAGGAGTAGTACCCGGGCGTGCATTAGTTCCTGAAGTTATTCTGTTTTCAAGCTTATGGTCACAGTTACTATCCAGGAGTTGACGCATTTCATCCCGGCAGAATGCCATGGCAAACAGCCCTAAGAACATCACAAAAGACGACATTCCTAAAGCAGTGATCTGAAATTACTAAATGCTATCGCCAATTTTTTCGAAACGGGAGATTATAGGGAGGCTTATCAACAGTTCTCAAATTTTGGGCTAGTAGATCATTTGGCACTACCAAAGAGCAATATAATCTCTAAGATGCATAACGGCCATACATTGGTTTTGCAATATGCAGCTCGTTTTTTGGTGGCTACGAAAATTCCGCTCTCTCCGCTCGTACAAAGTTGAGAGCATTAAAATCTAAAATTAGAATTGCACGAATAAGCAAGTGCGTACATATGTGTGCGTATTTGTTCGAGAAGACGATTTTCTGCCAGAAATCATTTCTGGACTAAAAAACTAATTGTGTGTCAAAAGAACTTCTATGATTGAACAGGATGTTTATTTAAATTGCATTTATGTATATATGGTAAAACTTGATGTAAAACTTTTTTATATACATATGTACCTTAAAAACGAATATCTGCATATTTAATTCATAGTTTTGTTTTAGATATTTAAATTAAAGCTAAAAACATAACTTTTAGTACAAAACATATAAAACTGCTTGATTAAATTTAAAAATATTTCAATAAAGTTATTTGAATATGATTGTTAAACAAAAACAAAGCGAAGTTTATTTAAATTGAATATATTTAAAGGATTACGGATATTATCCATGGCTGTTTTTTATTAACTTTAAAGTGGAAATATTAAATTTAATTTTTATTGAAATATATTCAACTTTGATTAAATGATTTATGGAAATATTACATTTAATTTTAATTCAAATATGTATATTGAACTTTGATTTAATGATTTATGAAAATATTAAATTTAATTTTTATTCAAATATATTAAACTAATAATAATAATATCTAATATTATCAACCTGCATTTAAATATTTTCATATTTAATCGAGCAGTTTTATTTTAATTATTTAATAGTATATTTAATATATTGACTATTTAAATTATTTAATCAATTGAATAGGATATTTAACATATTAACTATTTTAATTATGTAGTATATTTAATGAATAAAATAGTTAATATACAAATACATACATATACAAATATTTATTATTTGTTTTTACAGGGTAGGTTTAATTTTCAAAATTTAGCTACCTTAGGAGTATATTTAAATATAATACAAATACATTTATTATAAGTTATCCATTTTTAGTATTTCGTATGAAAATAAAATTTATTTTAATGATTTTGTGCCTTTTAAATTTGATTTGAAGCTTTTTTGGAAAGAAAAGCGCGCAAACCTTTTTTGTTTCCCCTTTGGGTTTTTCTTTTTTCTAAATACTTAAAATAGTTGATATACAAATATTTATATAAATTTAATTTATATTATGATAATAATTTTATATAATGTTATTATAATACGTATATTGGTCTTTGGCACTACTGATTCAAAGGTTAATAACACCCCCTGATAATACATTTTAATTGTGGCTTATTATTATACCCTTGCAGAGGGTATTTTAATTTCAGTCAAAAGTTTGCAACGCAGTGAAGGAGACATTTCCAACCCTATAAAGTATATATATTCTTGATCAGCATCACCATCAGCATCTAGCCATGTCCGTCTGTCCGTCCGTCCGTTTCTACGCAAACTAGTCTCTCAGTTTTAAAACTATCTGCTTGAAACTTTCCCAAAAGTTGTCTTTTTTTTTGCAGGTCGGAACGAGCCGGATCGGGCGACTATATCATATAGCTCCCATAGGAACAATCGGGAAAAAATTCAAAAAAATTAAACTTTGTTGTTTATACCCTTATAATTTTGGTCAAAAGTGTGCAACGCAGTGAAGGAGACATCTCCGACCCTATAAAGTATATATGTATATTCTTGATCAGGATCGCCTCCTGAGTTGATATAAGCATATCCGTCTGTCTGTTTCTACGCGAACTAGTCTCTCAGTTTTTAAGATATCGAATTCAAACTTATCACACACCCTTCGTTCCTTTGCACACAGTATACATATAAGAGATTATATTGGTCTTTGGCTGGGGTGAGACGGAGAATCATACGTTAAGCCCAATCCTTCAGACCATCAATCTTTCCCACACACCGCAATCTTGCTTAAAGATTTACAAGGAATCGCAGATCTGCGCAGGTGCCGAAAGAGGCGACACTTGCCATGGTGACTCAAGTGGTCCACTGGTCGCCAATATCACATATCGGGGATTCGTATTCCCCACGCTGATTGGGGTCACCAGCTTTGGTTCCAAATTCTGCAACGCTTGTGGCTTCTACGCGAACGTTACGTTCCACAGACAATGGATCAAAAAACCATTTCGGCTAACAATTACGATCAGGATAAGGAGCCCTTTTTGGATGAGAACTGCAGCCACAGTCGCGTTAAATATGGATCTGTTAACGAACCCTGGAAACTACAATTTTATTATTGCGTTGCTAACCCCATCACCACAATAAGTAAGTATTTTTAATGCTAAACCTAATAGTCGATAATAATTTAATTTACGTTTTCTAGTCTGTCCGACTCAGTTTGTTGCTGGCACCCTTATCACAAATCTTAATTATTTTCAATCGTAAACATAATACTCGATAACATTTTAATTTACGTTTTCTAGGATTTGTTCTTACTACTGTAAGTGATTTGCGTGATTGATTTGATTGCGTGGATCTTAAAATGGACTTATGATCTTAATACAAATGCATCGACATTCTCTAATCAAATATGACCTTGACACGTACTGTTTTGGGTCAAAAATAATCAAGAGTGTTTAAATTTATTAAAGTGTGTTCGCTAAAATAAGTTTGATTATTTTTGTTAGATAAGAATATATGTACCATATACTACTAGCAGGGTGCCCGAAGTTTCGCTTGCGATGTTTTATGCTTGCATTATTTCTGTCTCCATACAGGAAGCTCTTAAATATTAAGACAATATTTTTATACCCGTTACTCGAAGAGTAAAAGGGTATATTGTATTCGTGCAAAAGTATGTAACAGGTAGAAGGAAGCGTTTCCGACCCTATAAAGTATATATATTCGTGTTCAGGATCACTAGCCGAGTCGATCTAGCCATGTCTGTCCGTCCGTATGAATGCTGAGATCTCGGACACTATAAAAGCTAGAAGATTGGCATTTTGCAT